AAAAGTAGATAAAGTTACTTACAGTTTTATGTACAGTTTTATTAGATACCTTCCAAATTCACTTGTGTTCAAACATGAGTGAATGTTGACAATACAAAAAGTCCATATGAGTGTAGCCTAGATTAATGCCTAGATCAATGAGATAGATTAGAACCAACAGAGATTCAAAAGCATTTAAAAGCATTTTGATGTATTTGTGTATAGCCCCAAAACACAATAGTAGATATTTAGATATTGAGAAGTTTCCAGCACAAACACCATTGTAGAATAACTGACCCCAACCCCAAACCTAATTAGCTACTATTAGGATAATACTAATTTGATTAATGATGTTCATTCATCCCAAACTGCCTGACAATAATATCTTGAGATAATAAAAAGTAATAAATCACTGACCACTATAGAAGTGTAAATGTTGACCGTTTGCCTTACTGTGTTCAGTTTTATTCCTGAGAATGAGAATAGACTTGGAGCAAAATCCCACTGATAATAAGCCACTGATAATGAGAGTGTAAAACCACAGAGAGATTTATTAGATTAAAATGTATGTTTAAGAATCTGGCTCAATAGAAGCAAATATGCAAACATATTTGTAAATAGATTAGAAATTACACAGTCTAAGATTGAAAAGTGAAGTGTAGTGTAAACAATCAGCATTAGAATAAAAGTATAGAGTAATAAAAGTGAAATCAGCTTCTAAATTGAGACTCAGCTCGTTTTTGTCTGTGTTTTGACTGAATCTGCTGAGTTCTTGTGTGTCCAATAGTGTTTGTTTGTTTTTATTTTTGATTTGTTTTTGTATGTCTTTCGATGTGTGACGTGACAATGACTATATAAACTGTGTACTGCCTTTATTCTGTCTGAGAGAAAGAAACAGAGTAAACCAGTGGAACTTGAGAGAAACATAAATAAACTTCCAGAGTTTGGCACACCACGATCCGTCTCTGTCTGCTTAAATCCTGACAACATGCTTGAGATAAACGTAAAAAAAAAAAAAAAAATCTTTAACAAGTTTAGATTGATTGCTGATATTTCAAAAACAAACAAAAAACCTCAACACAGTACACATACCTCTATTACAAAGTTCCCTACAGTGATAAATAAAGTGCACATTTACATTTACAAAACATGTAAATGTTTTGTAAATGTTACTGGCTCATTGTTACTGGAAAAGTATACCACAAGTATACTACAAAACTATACCATTTTGTGGGTAGTTACTGACTAGTAAGTCAGGTCTCCAGTGACATTTCAACATATAGCTTGTTAACTAAAACCTGCTTGACCAACTTTTAATATTTCAAGTGTTTGACGAAATTGTACTTTTTTAACCATCCATATTCTTTAAACCCTGCAGCACTGGGAAAGTGGAGCATGAAAAAGCATTGTTCAGCAAATTAACTAATTAAAAGTCATGTTCAAATAATGAAGAAAGCGCGCCCTGAGACACATACGGATTAATTAAATGCAGATTTGTATTTAAGGTTTCTCGTGCCATTGTTCACTGGGTTGAATCCAACGAATGGTAATAATAAATGGTGCGTGCCTTAAAGGTTGTCTAGAATGACGAGGGGTTAAAAAAGCTGGGTGTGTATTTCTGTTTCACAACAAGATAAATTAATATAAGGAACTCATGAGAAAAGCCTTTTGTGGTCATTAGAAAATAAAATTGCCTGTTTCCTTGATGTTGCACGTGTCAAAAACTCAGCATAACATGTGACTCGTTGTGCTCTATATCTTCTAACATAACATTTCACTTATTAAAGTGCAAATTTATGCATCACAATGATTCAACGTGTAATGTGATCAGCAGGCGCGCAGCAGTGGTGGACAGCAGGCGGATGGGCCTGTGTGGGTCTCCATCATTATGACGCTATCAAATGTCTAAAGGGGAAACAGGTGCAGGGGGAAAAAACTCAAAACAAATAAACCAACCTACTATATACTAACTTACCCCTATTGTAGTATCTCAGCATTGACATGAAACTGTGACATCACTCAACCCTTGGTTACAATACACAGGGACACAGGGTTGTTTAATGTACACCTGCATTTTGACTGCCATAGTGTGGTTTGGGTGGAAACGATTAATCAAATCAATCAAAATAATCAATTACAAAAAAGCTTTGTAAACATTTTCTTTTCTTTGATTAATAAGACATTTTAAAAATACAATGCCTGCTGGACTACAAGTGGCTAATTCTTTTACTCTGCGGCCTATTAGCAATGAGGCAAATTGATGTATTTTTATTTTGTTAGAGCTCCCCTGGGGTGCAGGAAAGGATTGGATCTTCATTGTTGACAATGTTGTTATTTGATTAGGGTTGTTTCGCACCCTCACTCAAGCAATGCACTGGAATCCTGGGAAAAAAACATGTCTATGGCCTAAACTAACTACTTATTTTTATTTATTGGGTTATTGTCAGAACAGAGTTTATGGACTTATTATTTTGACTCCATCAAGATATAGTAGGAATGTTAGAGATCAAATCAGAGTGGATTGACCAGGGTGCTTTGATCATCAACTTGTCATCAAATCATTTTAAGTCCAGTGAGAAGTTGTCTTTCAGCTTTGATTTGTTCAATCAGTTGTTTAAGTGTTACATTACAACAGAAAAACCTGGGAGTATATGTGTGTACAAAATGTCTCTGTTTATATAAAGGCGCACGTAATAGTCCAACAAGTACTGCAAACTTAAAATGAAGTGAAACTGCAACTTCACAGAACTAATTCCACTACTTATTTTACACATAAATGTTATCTGGTGCCAACAATGCTCTGAAGACTGATTCAACAATTAAGGTGTTTGAAACAATGTTTTGAAACAATGTTTCAGATGTAGATTCATTTTAATTGCCATTGGAATCCAAGTGCAAAAGTACCCCAGTATACACCAGACAAAACAGAACATACAGCTAATATAAAACAGAAAACAATTATCACTTCAATAAGACTAAGATTAAGAGATCCTTTATTTGTCCCACAGTGGAGAATTTTCGTAACAAGCTATTTGCATATTGAGACCTCCTGCATCTTCTACCAGAGGGAAGAAGCTGGAACATGGCTTTTCCAGGGTGGCCAGAAGAGTCAATGATTATTCTAAGAGATTGATTTAAGAGTCTGGATTCATAAATAACCTCCAGAACAGGTAGCTCGCAGCTCAAAAGTACAATGTGAAAGGGTTTCAGTTTGCAATTATATATAGAACGCACCTTCTATCTGAAAAGCTGATCCAAAGATTTGAGTCCAAAAATACTTGCATGTGAAAACTAGTGATAGAACCCGCAAGTGCTTTTTACACCGTAAAATACATAAGATAAGAGTTCCTTTATTCGTCCCACAGAGGGGACATTTTTAATTACCTCCATTTCAAATTGAGATATATATTTTTGGCCATATTGCTAACAGTTTACTTTAAAAATCTCCATATAGATGCTCGTTTTAGCAACAAAAGCATGGTCCTCAGCTGGAGTTTATATGTTTTGTCGTTTGTCATGTTTAATGAGACTAGCTTAAGTGCCACAGTGGCATAAGGCCATGTGCTGCATTTTTAAAAAGGTCAATATCAACCAATTGCATCATCCCAAACATATTCTGATCACTGATACTGATAATAATACATTGGACTTACATAGCACATTTTGGACACTTAAAATTACTCACTAATTCCTCACAGCTGAATTATTCACCACAGTTCATAAGAGCAGAGATCACGGTTTTACCATCGAGCACTTTCTGTTTCTCTGCAAATAAAACACTCAATAATGAAAATTGTTTGTAATCTAGTAGTAAACAGTTATCTCGCTGTAGCTAATCCTCAATAACAGCTTTTACAACACATCTGTTCCTTCTGTATTGAATGAATAAAACAAATGCATTTTTCTGTTAATCTGGCAAATTTGGCAAAATATCTAATTGCAATTTTTCTGACAAACATTAAGATTAAGAGATCCTTTATTCGTTCCACAGTGAGGAAATTCTCAGTGTTGCATCACAAGTTATAGAAAAGTAGGAAATAGGAGCACACAGCACAGGATAAGTGAACACTAGCTGTACTAATTAAAATAAAACAAAATCTTGAACTATTACGAATAGATTTAAAATACGAAAATTAACTTTATTTGAGAACATTTTTGCAAGTTTAAAGATTCCTTCATGTAAAATCGATAAAAAATTCACCTGAAATGAAAATGAATGCTACTGTGCCTAAAAGTACTCAATTTCAGACAATCAACGTAAACTAAAATCAAGTAACATTTTCTCTAATTCATGTGATTTTTAAATTATTTCTTATGCATTTCTTTGTTCACCAATATGACCACTCATATTGTGATCTTGTTCTGAGGGTTATAATTAAACCATATCAAACATTAGGATGGATGATGCCATTTTTGTTACATGACAGACTTGGGTCTCGACAGACTTGGGTCTAGGCCGCTCAACTTCATAGATCTAAGCTGATCACTGACAATAGTCGATGAAATAAACTCAAATTTGATTAATTACTCAGCTATAGACCACCAGATTAGATGCATTCTCAAAATGTCCACAACTTTCCAGCATCTGAGGCATAAAAAAACCAACACACAAGCTAGGACATGCAGCCTTCAAACAATAGCATTATACTTTCTTCAAGTTCCCATGAAGTGTTTTTTGCAGGTGGTTTAACCCTCCGAACACCTCTATTACTGTTGGGGGAGCGAGGGCCTGCATAGTGCACATTCTTTTCCTCAATCATCACTTCCTCTCCTGTTATTATCGCCCAAAAGCACCTGCCCCTTCACCTGGATACCTGAGTGTGCTACAGTAACAGGGCTCCTCTTTATCAAACCTTCATCTATAATACAGCACGCTCACCAGTTGTGCATTCATAAACTGTTCTCAGATCAACAGCTCTGTCAGATTTCTTACAGCTACAGACAATAAAGCCATGTCCCTCGACAACAATCAGCAGCCCACTCCCTTCCAGCCTCTGCTTGGTGTTCCGGGTATCACTCACTCAGTAGGTGTGCGTTGTACTTGCTGGTGTAGTAGTAAACGTCTTCGTAGCCCTCCTGATAATCATCATCGGCCCGGTACCTTCTCCCTCTCCTCTTCCTGCTCAGAATACGCATCAGAGCTAGAAAACGATCCATCATCACCACTGCACCGGGTCCGAACTTGAGTGAGGCTGCCGGCTAACACTGTTGAAAGCTAACACACAGCTTCCATCCGCCAAGAAAGATCAGGTTTCCCCCGTGCATCCTAAGGTCTGGGTCCAGAACGCACATGCAAGTCCATCTAGAACCTGACACACACAACACAGTCCCATGCACACATTCCACTCACGAGGGCTTTTGTGTTATCTGCAGCTTCACTCTCCTTCTTTCCACTGCTGGTGCATCAGCCAATCACAGGGCTCCATGCTCGCCCCTCTTTCCCTCTCTCTCTCGCCATCACCACTGAGTATTTATTATAGTGTGGGGACATAAACATGTGCCCAGACCATTCATGAGGAAAGGCCTTATCAGACAAACAACAGGGGGTTCAGATGTTTCGATTATGTTTATGTTATGGTGGGTGGTAGTGACCATATTTGAGTGAAGAGATGCAAAAATCCAGCTAATGCAGTTCAGCTAAGATAACTTATTATGAATAACTTATCTACTGTTATTTATTTCAAAGGGAGCTATACAGCTTCGCACAAGTAAAAGTTCCAACCTTATGAGATGTTCTAGGGCCAACATCGACCATTCTATAGTCTTATAGTCTTATTACAAAAAGAGCGGCCAAACAGAACACTATTTTTTAATCCTAACTTTGATAGAAGATATATTCCTATGAAAAATGCAATAAATAATAATATTGAATCTACTTGTACTTAGTGTGACTGATGATAATACAATACAGCAGAACAAGATCAGGACAATTTGACCATTTAATTCAAAAGCATGCGCTATGAAAAATAGTAGTATTTAGTCATAATAAACCATCTACAGATAAAACATCATCGTAGAAAAAAATTGAGACCCAAAAAATATAGTTTTATCCATCAGTTATTGCTCATTATTGTGACAGGCCTATAGTGATCTGGCATCAGTATTGGTTCATCCCAAAGTATAAAAACCACCTCCATGATGCAGAGTCCTCAAAAACCCAGCACATGTGTGTGTAAGTGTGTCTGTGTGTGTCTGTGTGTGTCTGTGTGTGTGTGTGTGCCAGCGTGTGTACAGCATCCGCTCAGACAGATAAGTTGTCACCATTAGCTCCTTTGTTTCGTTCTTGTTTTCTCTCCTTTGTTTCCGAGCTTGAGCATTTTTTTCCTTATGTTTTGTACATCTCTCCCCTCCTCTATTACACACTTGGGTACAGTGTAGGGGGAGGGGCAGACTTCTGAGAAAGTGGATGTGTGCATGAATTCCTTTGGGGTCTATAATTGAACGTTAGAGAAGAGGAGATGACAGCAAAATGAACGCGGGGGAAAAAATACAACGGAAGCTTGAACAAAAAGGTGACGAGTGACTAAATTAATCTGTATTATATTGGTGTATATATATGTTTTTCATTATCAATAATATTCAAGGGCAGAAACACAAAGTAAAAACCTCATCTCTGAACTACAGACAGGCCTTTTTTAGGTTCAGCAAGATTATGGCCAATGTTATCAAATTATAATTTGAGTGGCCACAATAAATCTGAAAAGCATTTCTCTGGAGCAGACCCCAGGTTCCTGTGTGATATGGGTGATATTAGAACGATAATGTACATTTTCCAGATTATCAGTTTGAAACAAGCAGGTCGCAACACGTCCTGGTGTTTGCCTGATGCAGTGCGGAAAGACACCAGAATGATGACAAAGAGTGGTAGTAGTAAGTGACCACACATAGTACTGCTGCTGGTGCTTTGTGGGAGATCCCACAGTAGAGGAAATATGATTCCTGGAGCTTTTCCTGTCCAGATAGCATTTAAAACCACAAGGGCTGAAAATACACATTCCAATCCTTCAAATAAAAAAATAAAAAAATGTTTTGGTCTGTGAAAACATTATTATTATTATTGTATTATCATTATTATTATTATCATCATCATTCATGTTTTCATTTTATAAAAACAAATAAATAAATAGGAAAAGGTTCGATGGTACCAGCAAGCTACCTTAGCACTAATAACTTAATAGACAGTCCAATGAATGATGTACAAATGAAATAATATGTGGATCAATAAATGTATGACTTCAAAGAAAGCATACAACAAATATACAATGTTACAAAAATACATGACAGTTTACTGCTTTTAATATTTTTTGAATGAATAGTGCTCATTTAAAGACTTTGGTTTTTCTGCATTCTTCTCACTGAGGCCATGGCACGTCCCAGCAGCCGTCACGGATGTCAACTTTACAGTGTGTGACTTGCTCATGGATTAAAACATACAAACATGAGCCATGTTTGAGTGCGCAGAGACCTCTCTAGTGCCACACAACAGCAGCTGTGGGAAGTCCAACAATTTCAATTATCTGTTTGTTTGAACAGGTGAACCAATTACACATAGCACTAGATCTCCCACACACCACAATAATATAAATTACATTACATTATCGCATTACATTTTTTTAACTTTAATTAGTTGAGTTCAGTGATTACTAAGGCACAACAATGCGATTGATAATGAATAACATGATGTCCCTGTGAACAATGAAAGATTCCTCTGATCAGTTTAAAGTCAACATACATTGATTTGAGCCATGGCCTCACTAACAGCTGCGGTGACAGCGCAGAGAAGTGTTTAAACTGTACAAGTCGTCAGAGGTTTTCACAGCAGCGCTGTAAAAGCAAGAGACGGCTGCATAGACAGTGAATAAGAAAGGGTTAGGGTTACATTAGTAAACACCCTTCATGTGGACATAACAGAAGGGATCTGTAACATGTATATGATAACAATATCTATATAATGATTACTTTTTAAATAATAACAAATATATACTACTTCACTATCTAATTCACTCAACTAAACTAAGAGACAAGATTAAGTTATTTCACCACCAATATTGGTGAAGAAACAATAGAACAACTTTGTGGGTAAAAGTCAAAATTCATTATCACCCAGTAAAGGCACAATCAGGATATCACAACCAATAAATATACAACCTGATCCAGAATCAACAACATGTCTAATATTGGCATCAATATTGGTGCATTTCAGAATCAGAATCAGAATGTTTTTATTGCCATGTGAGTAACATGAAGTCACAAACTAGAAAATTGCTTTGAATTTCGGTGCAAACAAGTTAAAGCAGAATAAAAACAAGAAGGCATGCATATATAAAAATCTACATCAATTTCTTCAGTTTACTACATAGAAGTGCACTAGGTGCACACAATAGACTGTTATTGTGTGTTAGAGTGCAGTAAAGTTACAGTAGCATTAAGTGACGGTCATAAGGGCAGAGGTCAGTGATGGTTTATGGAGTGTCCATGAGTCCAACATCAGAAGGGAAGAAACTGTTCTTATGGCAGGAGGTTCTGGTCCAGATGAGAGAGGGTTCAGCTGTGATACAACCAGCCCACGAGCCCGGGCGATGTACAGGTCCTGCAGCGATGGGAGGCTGCATATATTATTATATTTTATTCCATTAGTTGTTAGTCATGAAGAGTACATGAAAAACGTTTTTTTATTGTTAACAATTACTCACGAAAAAAGTGACAATTACCTAAACTTGAATATTAACTTAATATTAACATTAACTTAATGTCTTAACGGCAGCTTTAATCACAAGTGTCTTTTTATTTGAATTCTGGTTGAGTCCTTTCAGTAGAAGCAAAACAGTTAAGCCAGCACAGCTAAAAGTGACAAACTCCATTTGCATATCGCTCTCAGTCCAGCCTGGTTTTCTAACAGGATTGGAGTGCTTGAGAGCGTGTGATCCTATTCTCCATGCTTCTTCACAGACCACTCCTCTAGCTCCCTCTGCTGGCCATACACATCAATACACATTGAAGAACAAAGTGGCCAGAATGCTTATGAACCACACAAAAATTATCTGCAGAGGACTGATAGTGCTTGAGGTAAAGGTAAGAATAAGAGACAAGCGCCAGGATGCAAACTTGACAAAAGTGGAGGAGAACAGTGGTTAGCCTGTTTATAATGGAGTGACTGACCTTGATTCCTATGGACAGAGACACACACAAACACTGCATTGACATCTATTCATTCCCTGCTGACTCAGCCAGACCTTAGGCTAAACAGAAAGACAAGACTGGACAGAAGTCAAGTGGAGGGCCATAATGAAACTTCTAACGATTGTGAATGCCACAGGACCAGCGACTAATGCAAACCTTTTCTTTCAACCTAAAGATGCAATTGGTCATTGAAGCTTCATAATAAGCTATAGAGACGATAGCTTTATCATAAAGAGAAAGCCCAAAATAATATTCGGCAGCTGATGCTCAATTAATTGAAGGAATAATTGCTAGATTCATCGATCGAGAAAGCAAATAGAATAATTGCACGGCATCTAAAAAAAACATGCAAGCCCTAATTCAAGTCCTGCAGCCTCACACTCAAACAATTGTTCAGTTGTAGAATTTGTAAAATGATAGATTTAAGTGTTCAAACAATGTATTACACAAGTAAGTAAGTAAGCTTTATTTATATACCGCCTTTCACAGACCAGAGTCACAAAGCGGTTTACAATTGTTATTTTTGGGCATTTGTCTCTCACTCCACACAGAGATGGGAGCGGGGTCGCCGAACAGGAGGCGCATGCCAGACCTATTGTACATATTTTTAGTGGTAGGGGAAACCGGAGTACCCGGAGGAAACCTACGCAGACACGGGGAGAACATGCAAACTCCACTCAGAAAGGCCCTGGTCCGGCCGGGATTCGATCCCAGGACCTTCTTGCTGAGAGGCGAGAGTGCTATCCACTCAGCCACCGTGCTGAGTGGATATTACACAACTAATATTGAATCCATTCTAGAATTCTAGAAGGATTTGAATCAATAACAGAACCATGGGGTAAAAATATCAAGTATGAATCAAAACTGTACTATTACTTACTAGTACATTATTTATGTTTTTTTCTTTTAATGTTTGGTTGACTATTGTAGTCTGAATGAAGAGACTGAAAAAAAAAACTAACTAACTAAAGTATAGGACC